CCCCCCCGCCGAGAGAGATTCACGTCCTTTCCTCCCCATTCCCACACTCATCCTGGTCAAAGGAGCTCCAAGACATGGGAAGGGCTGCTGGGGACTGGAAGGGGAGCGATCCCAAGGGCTGACGGCTGGGAGAGGCTGGGTCCCCAGGGTTTTGCCACTGGCCTCAACCGCCGCCGGGACGCCCATCACCTGAACCGGACAATTGAGGCGCAGGTCTGAGGAAGCCCGGGGACTGGTCCTCTGCGTGGGACCCGAGCGCCCTGCGCGTCCCAGCCGGGGTCCTCGTCCGCTGCCTGAAAGCAAGTCTGTAAAAGTCTGTGCCTTGGCGATCACCCTCGCAGCCGCCAAGACCAGCCACTGAGAGTGGAGGCGCGTCCCAGCAGCTCCGACCTGCCCGGACCAGCTTTTCTGCCCCTCACCGCCTGCTGCAGCCAACCAAGGCCGAGTCTGGGCCCCTTCCGAGGTCACTAAGCTTGGAAGCTCGAAGAAAGAGCACCAACAACAGCAATGAGTGGCTGCGGCCTCCTCCGCGCTGCTCCCCGGCGGGGCTGTCCGAGGGATGGAAACGGAAGGTCATCTCCCCGGAGAGGATTCCAGTCCCTGCAGAGGATGGGAGATCTGCCTGTCCCGGGGAGGGACTGGAAGCCCGGGCTGAGGGCTCCCCTGAAGGAGCCCCGCAGCCAGACTCTGGCCCAGGGCCGGAATCCCACCCGCCTAGAGCACCTGGGAGCGCTGAGGCCTCGCGTCGGTGCGGCGGGAGGAAGATGATAACCTGCGCCCTCCCTGGGGCCTGGGGGCGACTTCGAGAGTGCCCTGAGTGGATTGTCCCCATCTGGCTCCTCCAGAGCTGCGGACAGATTCTGCTTTTCATTTTCCACTTGCTTTACGACTCTCCGTGCCTCAGTTTCCTCCTTTGTAAACTGGAGAGGAGAAGCTACAATATCTCAATAGGTTACTGTAAGGATTAAATGAGCTAACCCAGATGGAGAGCTTAGAGCTGCGTCCAAAGCACACCCGATGTATGCTGGCTATCGACTCGTCAGCATCCTTAGCTCCTCTTTTGGAGAAAGGGGACCTTTAATCAATCAATCAATCTCTCTCTCTCTCAACAAAGGTCAGAAAGCAGTGGGATTCACCTTTCCTATGCATATTCCATAAATGCCTGAGCCAGAAATTTCATTGTTTCCCCTAATACTGTCACATCTGTGAATGCCTTCTCTTATATCTTTCTTTGTCCAGGATTCTCTCTCCCTCCCCCTCCCCCTCCCCCCCCCCCCCAGCCATCTCTCTCCTTATCGCTCTGTCTCTCCCGATGGCTCTGTAGACCGCCAACATCTGAGTGAAGTGTGAGAAACGTGCAAAGTAAATCCGTTCCTTTTCTTATGCCGGTCTCACCACAGAGGTTAGTCTGAACTGTGCACATAGGAACCGGCGTTTTCCGCCCCAGCGCAGACGAAGTTCCAGTGTCTCGGTCAGCTCTCCGCAGTGGCGTCTTGTGATTCCTGAAATCTGGGTTTCTTGGCCGGCCTGGGACAGTCCAAGAGGTAGTGGGATGCACACGGAATCCCTGTCATTCCTCGTTCCGCCGGGAGACAGTGACCACGCGGCCTCCCCGCTCAGCCCACAGCTGCAGCCCAGGGCTCCCCTCGGGCCCCAGTGCGCGGGCCGTGCGTACTAGGCCCAAGCCTGGAGTTCCCATTTCCCAGGCCGACCTAGCTTAGCAGGGTGGCAACCAACAGGGCTTCAACACGGAGGCCAGGGGGCGCAAAGTCCGGAATTCCACGGGTCAGGTCTGAGGGGCTGGGAAAGCGCCCTTGCTGTGTGAGTTCCGCGGAGAACCGGGACCACCAACCGCCCCGCCCTCCCCACGCTGGCCACTAACGCGGCTCGACCTCGCGGAAGCGGGAGAAAAATTCTGAGCCGTACAGACCGCTAGGACGTCAGGGCTACGCCACCAAATGACCCCTCAAGGCCTCGTTTCATGTTCACCAAGACAAGTGACCAGACCCTTGATTTTCCCATCTCCAAATAAGAACACTAACCCTGGACCTGAATCGCACTGTGCGCCGGTTGTCAAGACGTTGAAGTTCACCACTTCCGAGGAGCCGGCAGCCCGTAACGATTCCTGGACTCTCGGATCGAAAGACCAGAAGCGTCCTCTCCATTCCGAAAGCAATGGGTCCCAGGTTCAAAGCGGCAGCCCCTCTGGGTGTCCCAAGGGGAATTTCTATTCCCAGAGGAGGGGATGCGCGCCTTCGCTCAGCTGTCGTCGGAAGCAGCCGATCCGGCCTTGCGCGCTGCCACTGGCCACTCAGGAGCTGAAGATGAGGCTATAGCGGGCCTGCCTGCTGCTCTGTCAGGTGCGGACCGTTTGGGGGCTCCCCAGTCAGCACGTCTAACCTGGGCAGAGGCAGGCTGTCTCAAGCTCGAGCTCCAGGCCTTGCGGAAAGGACCCACAGCCGGAAGCCGCGCTTACCTCCGCTACACAAACCCGGAACTCCAAGCAGAAGTCATAAGAGATCTCCGGGGAACTAGAGCAAAATATTGTCTCCCACACCCTCTTTCCGTTCTTTATTAATTTCACGGACAGTTCAAGGGGAACTGGCTTAAGGTCTGAGCTATCCTACATTGTACTGCTCTTGCGACACCGTCTATCAAGGAGCCTCCGGCCAGGAGCTACCCCCTACCCCACCCCAGGGGTCTCCGAGCGTCCATGGCTTCAGCCGTCTCTCTAGTTCCGTCTAGCCTCTGTCCTTCCGGGTCCTCTCTGACACTGACCGCAATCCAGGGCCTCAGCCTTCTCTCCTAACCCTCCCACATGTGTGTCCATTATGTTCTCCCTGGCCCCATGACACCAGTCCTCCCCAGCAGTGTCCACACTGCAAAGTGAACGAAGTTTTCCTGTGAGATTTTTTTTTCAAGTTTAAGTAAATGGGCATTTATCAGGATTATTCGGGCCAAGAACCGTCCTGACCCCACTCAAATGAAATCTTTGGACAACTGAGAAAACAGTAATATTAACTGAAGCAGGTATACATTAAATATGTATAAGAGATTAGGATATAAGTGGCATATAAAGGTCCAGAATCTATTAAGAGCTAGAAACAAATACAAGACACAGGTGTCTACATATACTGCTTAGATTCAATGTTAGATTCAAGGTCAGAGTCGAGAGGGGATCAATATAATCCAGTTCTCTCAGTTTACGAGTAAGGAAACAGGCCCGGAGAAAGCCGGGGGCCTTCCCAAGGTCGCATGGTAGGCAGAGGCGTCAAAGGAATCCAGTCGTGACTCCCAACGCAAGGCCCATCCCACTGCAACGCAGGCGTTTCTGCTTTAGGAATCACAGAGCAAAGAGCCTCTCATGGGCTTTTCTCTCCACTTTAGCTCTCACGAGGCGAGGGGATTCCCAGAAGGATGCCCTTTCGGGAATCCCGTAGTCTGTCCCCAGTCAGGTGTCTACTGTCAGGAAAGGGTCTGGTTCTCCCGGCCCTGGGAATTCAAATCCAGCCTCCCCCAGACAGCCTCGCGGGCCCGGGAGCACCACACGGATGCAGTTCTCTTATAGTACCGATAGGTGGCGCGTTCCTCACAGGAAAACCGGCCGGGAATCCGCCCGCGCTCGTAAGACCGGGCTCCCTGCCCTACCCATCCGCGTAGGGTCCCTCTCCCGAAAGAAAATGGACAGAAGGGGGGTGCAGCCGGGGGACTCAGGCTGGGTGCCGGAGGGTCTGAAAAGAAAGACCCTATAAACTCTGATTCTAGCACTTCGGCTCAGAGTGGCCTCACGCTCTCTTTTAAGAGGCCAAAGACCTTTGAGGGCAGAGGGTAAGGCTCTGCGCACTTGGCCAGAGAAAACACCGGGACCCAATAGGGTCACCCTCTGGTGGGGTGTAGGGGGCGTTATCTCCCCTCAACAAGCGCCTCCACGCACCCGCTCGTTCACGCACGCTCGGCGGCTGCCCTCCTCTGCCACTATCCCCAGGCCCCATTCTTCCGCCTACTTTTTATTTTTTTCTTTTAATATTGGGGCAGCGGGGGAGTAGGGAAGCCCGGCGCTTTTTCAATTGCGACGATAATTGTCCTCGAGATGGGTTTCTTAATCTGCTCATCCATTATTGACTTCTCTTCTAATATTTGGTTTTGCCGTTTTGATCGCCAGAAGATCACAGACTTGACTCCTTTGCATAACAATTTTGGGGCGGGCGTCCTTGGTGCGGGAGGGGAGGGACGTGCCCGGAATGGCTTTGGGGTCCGTATTCCATCCCTCCTCCCGCCCACTGCCCGTGAGGCCAGCCTTCCTCTCACTGACCTCCCACCCCTAACAGCACCATTCACGCCTGGAAAGTTCTGAAGGTGAGGGGTCCCCCCCCCCCCCCCCCCCCGTGGGAGCAGGAACAGTAACGCCCTCCAGTGGGACCGACGAAGGGAGGGATTGTGTTTCCCCCTCGCCTCCCACCGCATTCCCAGCGCCAAGAGATGCTGCCTCTTCTACCTCACAGACAGACTGGGGAGAGAATGCACCTTACTTGGAGGAGAATGGAATGGGGTTGGCAGGCGCGGGAAGGAGACCACGCTCTCATCTGGCACTTAGGCCGCGGGACAAAACTCAGACGTCCAAGGTTCCTGACGGCCTCTGTGGGACCCTGACCTAATCCCTTTCCCGCTCAGGGCCTCAGTTGCCTCATCTGTGGAGTGGGCTTTGGGGCTGTTCTCTCCCCGAGGTCCCTTTGATGTTGACCTTGCCACGTGTTGCCCGCTCTCCCCCCAGTGGGGCCTTAGGGCTTAGGGATTGCACAGGTGGGGTTTGGTGGGGAACAGAAAACCAGTGGCTATTTTAATCAGGATTTAAACAACTAGTTCCTTCTGCCTTTGCATAATTCAATGATGGGGGCGGGGAGTGGTGGTAGGGGAGATTTGGGGTCAGAGCCCTCTGATCCTTGCTCTCTCACACACCTCACTTGCAGAGCCTCGGTCGGAGGGAGTTGCTCTCAGGTTCCCAGCTGGCACACAAACGTACACACCGAGACTGTACACATGGCCACGCACAAGCACAGCCACCGGCGCAGAGCCCATGCACACATACTTGCACACACGGACACAGCGCAACCACGCAAGGGTTAGAGGAACACGAAAAATGCACACAACCGTTTCGTGGCCACTGGCACCCACGTACACACGCACCCACCTGGGGCCTCTCACACACACAGTCACATACAAACACGCAGGCGCCCGGGCGCACGGTCGCCCCCCACTCCGGTTTCTGCAGGAGCCCGGGGGCAGGGAAGGTGGCCGGAGAAGGCCTCGACACTGCAGTGACCCCCCCCCCCACCCCCCCCCCCCCAGCAGCCTCTAGAATGAATGTTATTTGGAGTAATTGCCCAAGTACTTAGAAAATGCTAAGGTTTATTTTTAAATGTGATTAGGACCTGTCTCTTTTCCCTTCCCCACCCGCCCCACTTCCAGCCCAAACTTTTCCCTCCCTCACCTCCCCACCAGTTCCCCGCAGCGCTGATCTCGGTGGGAACCCGGAGTCCTCCCCGCACCCTCCCCGGGAAGGGGGTCGGGAGGCTGCACCCCGGAGATCGAAAGGGGGGCGCGGCCTGGCTCGTGCCCCGGGGCCAGCGGGGAGGGCGGCGGGAAGGCGCCTGCCGGGAGCCGGAGCGCCGAGAGCCGGGCGCGCGGACTTCTGCTTCCTCTTCCCGGGTCAGTGGGAGAAGAGCCCTGGGACCAGCCCTCACCCCTACAGGAGTCGGGGGAAGAAGAATGACTGCTAACTCTGGGGCGAGCCAGAGAACACGGTTTTGGGACCACAGGGGCACTTCTATGCGAAGGGCTTGGATATCGTGGGTGTTTTCTTCTCTTCTTGAGTTATTTTTTTGACCACACCTTTGGAGTTGGGTCTGGACCCCCCGGGGAGCACGGACTCAGCCGAGGGGGGGGGGCAGCAGAACCCGGAAGCCACGCTGGTGCCTCCTCGCTCCCTCTCACAGCGGTTCCCACCGGCGTGCACACTCCCGAGGCCAGGCGGTGTGGACCCCGACCCGCGCCGAGCCGGATCGAGGCAGGAGCCGCCACTCGGACAGGTGGGGACCTGGGTGGGCAGGGGACCCCCTAGGCCTGCGGATCGCCAGGCTCTGGGAACCTTCTGGGGAGGAGGAGGGAGTGAGAGAAGGCGAAAAGCAAAATAAAGGAGAGAAGAAAATTCGAGCGTAGCAGCTGAATTTACTCCGAGTTTTTTTTTTTTTTTTTTAGGCGGGGCAGGGTGTGAACATTAGGGTTTCGATTCTGGGGTTTGGGTGGAATTCAATGTAAGGAGAAAAGCAGGATGTCTGATTAAAGTGAAAAATATAGAGTGGAGTGTATGTAGTCGCCTCGCTTTCGGGAGCCATGAGCTCTAAAATTCCCGGCTCCGGGGGGCCTGTTTGGCTGCGTGGTGCAGCTTTAGGGCGGTCTGGGGATACCGAGGAGAAGGTGAATCTGAGCGCGAGCAGCCCTAAGCCGACGAGTCAAGCCGCCGGCAGCGACGGGTCTGGTGTCTGCGCCCTGGTGTCCGGGATGTCAGGAGCCGACCCCGTGCTCAATTTTCGGGAGTCACTGAGATGTTTCCCCCATTTCCCATAGTCAAGCGGAGAAAGGGCTTAATTTTCTTTGCTTGTCCGGCTTTAAAGGGGAAAAAGCACCCCAAAACAAAAACTGATTCTAGAACAAAAAAATCCGTGTTGTGAACTGCCCCTCCCTCGGATAAAAGGGAGAAAACCCTGAGGGGAGGCAGGATGGTAGGGGCATAAATCCAAATATTGAAATCCCCAAAGGGGACAACCTCCCACAGGAAGCTTTTGGGGGACTTTCTAGGAACCTGGACATTTATGGCTGTACTTCTTGCACACAGAAAAAAAAAAGAAATTATCCCTGCCTCACCCCCTCAACCCTAATCTTCTAGGTTATCTACAAATAAAGCAGCCGCCCCAATTTCTAGAGTCAACAGAACATTTTATTTCTAGGGTTTGCCTCCCACGCACTGCCCCACCCACCTCAGCTTTATCCCTTCCCCTGCCTCCCCCAGTTCCACTCCAAGCTTCCGGCAGAACCAATACCCAAGGAATCCCCCTGTACCCACCCACCTCCACGTTATTATCGCCTCCAAATGAAGACCAAACCCCCAAGCGCTAATTGAATTAGTCTATTGAAAGGACTGTCAGGTACAATGACGTGGCTCGAGGCCCTACATTTCCCAAGGTCTATAGGCTTTGGGGACCTGCGATGTATAGTCTGACCTTCCGGCTCATAATAATACCACGGCACTTGTAGCAGAAATCTCCTCGCATTCACTCCCAACAAAACCGCTGGTCACCCAGTCCCCGTAGGAAGGCTGCCCGCTATTGTGTTGCGACAACTCATTCATGTCCCGCGCCACGAGGCCCCACCGCCATCTGATCTACACTCGAAATGCGATTACCACCATGTGCATGCAACACGCTCGCACTCTCGGCCCAACGCACGCACGCCTGGCCAGGCTGCGAGGTTTTCTTTCACAATTCTCACACCCATCCACAAAAGAGAGGTGGAAGCAGGCAGGACCGTGACATTTGTCTCTGTCTAAACGAAATCCAATCTGTGGAAATGTGAGATGGAGGGAGACTTCTCTTTCCTGAACAGCATACACCAAAACCCTCAGGAAACACATTTCTCCATGCTCAACTGGTGGCGCAGACTCGGGGGTACACACTGATGTGTACATACACGAGCCTCCAGCCATGCACACAAACACACAGACACACAAACAATGCTTTCATGGACTCATTTCTCTCTCTTTGGTTCTCACATATACAAGCAAATAGACACGAATACAGGCTCTTACCCTTCACAGCCAAGGGCCACTCTCCACATCCATAAGTAGTTTTTGCAAGATTGGGAAACAAAGGAACAGTATCCCAGCCTTCACTGTGAGAAGCATTCATCACCACCCCCTCAACATTTTGACCCCCATACCTCTCTAGCACCCCCCAGACACACAAATTCTCCCCACCTCGGTTTGGCCAGGTGCCTTTTGCTCAGTGGAAGGCCCTGGTTAGCTGCAATAGAGGAAGTCTGGGAGTGGGAGGGAGGCAGGAATTTTGGGGGGGGTCCCCCTGTCTTTCTTACCCCACCCTCCGCTATTGAAAGCCTCTTTGGGCTCCCTTCCTCCTTCATTGAAGTACCAAATCACAATGACAGTGAAATAGAGAGACATTCTTATTTCATTCATTCAGG